CCTTGTTTAGCTGGAGCAGCTCTCACTTGCTCATTCCCTGAGCTTCATCTTCTCTCTCTATCCCAAGTGCACAACAAAACAACATATAAAACATAGTTCTAGAAACACTGTTTAGTGGTTTAGAGCCAAGCTTTAAAACTTTTAACTTATTATTAATTTATTATTATTATTATTATTTACTTAACACCTTCTAATACCCATGCAGAAGAATGATGTTAAAAGCCTCAGTTAAAATAAATAAATTCCTTTGTAAGCACTCGTTCGTCGATCCATTACAGACAGCAAGTCAATGAGGATACCAAAGTAGTACTTAAAAAGACTCATTAGTAATTTTGTGGCTTTCACCTCAATTAACAACAGCACTTCAACCTCCAATAACACTGAAAGGAGAAAACTTTTGTCAGTTGTAAAACAATTTTACTGGCAATAATAAAATGACTCAATTACAGACATACTGAATGTTGGAATGAATAAATAAACTATTAAAAAATATTGAATTTAATTGTTCCACTCAGTTGTGCAGTTATGCATTTCATACCACTTAGCAGAATGAACAAATTGAAACAAACTAAAGTACAAACATTTGCCATGTTTCGCTGATATATTTCATAAGTTCTAACAAGCCTGTAAAAAGATTAAAATCCTCATTAAGAGTGTACTGTGCAGATATTTACCAAATACCTATAAGTCAACAATGATTTTAAAGCAAACAGAGGAATTATGTTCACATTTTGACAGAATCCCTTCAAATTCTCAGATTTAGTACATATTATTTTTCCCATGTTAAACTTTCTTGGCTTGAGATGGATAATAACAATGTATGTCGACATTGTGCTCAGTATTTCAATTTGTTGTACAGAATAACCTTTATTTCTTTACAATATTCAATATGTTTCAACTGTCAACAAGTCCCACAAAAAGACCAAAACCAGCTGTGTTTGTCCATCTGTCAGTGCTTTCTGACCTCCTGTCTGCAGCTCTCAGGTCAACAGTTCCCACTGAAGACGTGAATCTAACACCTCACAAGAGGTTCAGTTATTTCCTTAAACAGCAGCTCACTGTAGTTTTTGTTTTTTTAAACAAACAGTAGGAAATTGGACTATTTTCAGAGGCAGATTAATATACATTTGGTGCTCTAGTGCAGTGGTTCAGTGGTGCAGTCCTTTTCTATCATTGAGTAAACTGACGAGTGGCATATCAAATATATTTATGGATATTTCATATTGTATTCAACACATACAGAACAACTGATAAACTGCAACAGTGAACACAATAACTACAGGAAGTTTGTGTAAAATGAGCAATTTGAATTTTTTTGAACATTTTTTGGGAAGTTCAGGACCCCCACTAGGGTTGTTTTAGGACTTTTAGGGGTGTAAGAAAACTTAAAAATATACACAGTAGCCCTATATCTCAACATGTTGTTCATTTCTGTGCAGCAAAATAAATGAAATATTTATTTCCTTTAGGTTTAGATAGTACATTTTTAAAATATGTATATATGTTCTAATAATAAGTTCCTAAAAATATCAGAAAAAAATATTCATTATATATTATTATACAACATAAGAAATAATCGTCTCAAATTCATCCAAATCTCTGGTTTTACACACACTTTCTGCAGTTATTGTGCTCACTGTTGGGGTTCATTGTTCAGTTTATCAGTCGACAACATGGGAATGCAAACCTCTGAATGTGGCCTGCCTTTACCTTGCACCTGGGGGATTTTATCTGTCCGAGACGGTGAGGAGACCTCCAATCCTCCACATGGAGATAGAAAACAAGGGAAACTCATTTGACAAAAGAAAGACGCGCCGTTCCAAGTGGCTCAGGAAGCCCGCCTGCTCGGACCCCACCTCCATCCTGCACGGTACCTTTGACTTTTGTAGGAGCTCCTCCAAGATCCAGAACAAGCAGCACGAGTTCTGATACTGGTCCATGGGAAACTTGACGAGCCCAAAGCTTTCCCGCACCTGGAAAGTAAAGTCAATGTTAGGGCTGCAAAAGCCTCTGATAACCACCTCCAAAATGGATCATTGTTGGATGATAACTTAAACTGAGAGAAGTGGCAGGGAAAGGTTGTAAATGCAACCTGTACAGTCTTTTACAACTATTAAAACTCTGTAAATCACTGTTGATATAAGATGATTCATCTAGCTCAGACATCCGGCCAAGGAAAGTTATTCCGTCACAGCTCTCATTCTGTGACACGAGGACCAAATGGCTCGTACCAATGACTTTGGCCCTCCACATTACCAGAATACCCTAGAGGGAGGAAAATTACTCACGCTGTAAATTCCGACTGCAGTTTGCTAAAGGCAGGATGGAAAAGCCAATTATTGAGCGGCTTCTTTGCTAAAACAACAGATATACCGACTGATGGAGATTTATGAAAGTAAAATGGATTTTATTCGTTATTTTAGCAGCACAGCCTAGACGAGGCGTCAAGTCATCTGTTAAAACTGGAAGTTTTGTAGACTTTATTTGCATTTCATGCCTATATTTTCAGTTCAAGTTCTACAGGATCTCCTGGGCAGATCTCTTGGCAAACGTACTTACATACACGGAAGCTTTTACAACCCGGTCCCGTGGGCTAACCAAACCCAATCTCGACAGCTTCCTACATCTTTGGTGTCGACTAACATCATCATCTGCTGCCATTACAACCTTCTGGAAACATCTCCGAGCAGCAGCCTCCATAATGGCAGCTTTGAACCCTCACATGTTGGATATGTCAGATCTTCCTACCACATCCTGGAGGGTCAACCAGCAGAGATACGTCCTCTGCTAGTAGGAAAAACTGCAGCCAAGACATTAAAGTAAAGGATTAAGTCCTTTAAACTACATGACTGCCTAGATATTTCTGATCGATGTAATCCAAGGGCGAGACAGTGGTATCATTACTCAAATAAACAAACAGTGGAGTAATCCATCAACATGCTGCAAATACATGCACACAACATTTAACAATAGATGAGAGCAGAAATATAAGGTAGGATTGTTTTCAGACTGCACACCAAGTCAAGTTCAAGGCATACAATACACAAAACCCTGCAATCCAAATGTTAATTATTCAAATAAACAGAAGCTGCTGGAGTCCTTCCAGGCTGCAACTCGGCGTGTAAATGTGTGTGTGCCTGAGTTCAATGCATGTGAAAGTTTCTGTGTGTGAAAGATGTCACGGAGAAAAACAACCGCCAGATGGCTGTCAGGTATTCCTCCAGGCTTACGCTTTCAGAGAGCTGACAGAATGTGACAACAACACCCCCTTAACCCCTTACACACACACACACACAAACCACTTAGACCCCATCAGAATTGGGTCACTTAGCACTTTGCTCTGGAGAGCTAGAACACCTTTTTCTTTATATCTCACAATTCACTTTTTCGATTTTGCCAGCTTGAAAAGTGTTTCTCCGGCTGCACTAACAGATTATTTAAGACAGAATTCTCCTGCTGACACAACAACGATTAACGACTAAAAAGTGTGATCAATAACATTTTACTGGCTCTGCACAAAATGTCAGCAGTGTGTTCCTTGTGTTGCCTTAATGGTTCCTGAAATACCAGCTATGCACTAAAGTCTGGATTAGCTTCTCCAGAAACCACATTGAACCTCATTGAGATGGAATTACATTAGCTTGAGAGCTAAACAATGCTAAAATTGATGGCGCATAATGTTGTTCGGTGATGCAAAACAGCCAGCCTCAAGTAAATACTGTAATTTACTGTAATACTGTAGTTTTGAGCTGTAAACTAAATTCTATGACTTTACTGTGGGGATACATCAATGCTGGGGTTAAAATCTCATCAAATCTATGAAAATCTGACTTTTTTTGGTTTGACCGTGTAGGACTACTTTACGTCAGACATTTCTATAAAAAACACAAACATCAGTCACAGGAGGTTATGCTAGCTGTTGCTAACCCTCTACTTAGTATGTTTATATTGTGACGCAGTGGCTCGGACTTTAGATGCTGTAGAAGCACCGGACTGCAAGCTTTACCTTGATCCCACACTGACACACATTTTATTGAATTAGATGATTACAGCTGTAGAGTGACAGGAAACGGGGGGAGAGAGAGGAAGACATGCAGCAAAGTTCTACAGGTTGCAGTCAAACCTATGACCGCTGCAGAAAGGTACATGTGACGCCAGCTCTACCAGGTGAGCTACCAACTCTATGGCTTGTTTTACAGCATACAGTCATTGAAAAGTGAGTTATAGATGAAAAATCATCTCAACTATTTATGATTCATAGCATGGGCATTTTTTTACTGCTGTGTTTTCAACCTTTACTTCAATCTTCAGCAACATTAAGAACATGCATAACTCAGAATTATGTAGTAATCTGGTGTTAACTCATTAAAATAACTGTGTGATAACAGGTTCCAGTCATGTATTAAATTTGTGTTTGAAGTGTGAATTAAGGGACTGTATATTTACACACATTTGCCATTAAGAGATGGTGGCAGTCAGATATTCACACTGTCTGCAGCAGCAACTGTCAACAAGATGGAAAGGACATATTTCCTCTGAGTGATAATCATCATTAAAACGATGATTATCTGAGCTCCATCCTTGCACACTTTCTGGATGTTCGGACACTTTTAAACTCGACATGTTTAAATGATTTGTGTCGCTGGATGATCAATTTAAAACCAAAACATGAAATGAAATGAGGCTGCAAATGTCGGCATTAAAGCTGTTTCATGAAGGATTTACAACATTGAAAATGTTATGATTGATTTCAAGCAAGGTTTAATTTTAACCAAATAAACAGTGTATATCCTATTTACAGGCTTTGCCTTTAATTAATATGCAGATTTTCTTGTTTTAAACTAGAAAAACAACTGAAGCAAGGTTTTCAGTTTCTGAGTGTCAACAGTAACCAGATTTGAGCCATAAAACATTTCCATCACCTCACTGATTAATGCCTAGGGCTGCTACTAATTACATTATTCATTATTTATCTATTAATTGACTCTTCCTAATCTCCGACCATTTTTGGATCCTCTGTAAACATCTCTTCCTGTACTTAGACATGCTATGTGCTAGGCTAATCTAAGTTGAAAAGAAGATGTAGATGATGATTAAAAGAGCTAATCTATATCAATTGATGGCAAGGTAATTCGCTAGCATTGTAACTAGCTAGTTAAAGCTGAATGTAGATTAGATAGCTAGTTAGCTTGTGTTTTTCTCTGTAGGAAAACACTAGCTAACTAGCCATCACTTAACAAGCATTTTGCTAACAATATTACTTATGTGTCTCATTTAGTTGCAATCTGCAATTTCACCGCTAGATGGCACTAAATCCTACACACTGGTCCTTTAAATAAGTTAATAAAAAGGTTGTGACCAAGATATTCTCATTACTTATTGGTCAACACAGCGTTATGAATTTATCTTATTATTATCTTATCTGATAATATCAGCTGACATTTCGGCCCGGGTGATATGTTAGTCAGGCTCTAGTGACCAAAACGTGTTAATGATGCTAGACTCAAAACATTAAAGTACAGTTACATGGTGTGTGTCAACCAGGGCATCCAAAAGTTGAGACTTTATCAAAATGTGGGCAGCAACGTTTCCTGTCATTTTTTAAAACATGCAAAATGATACTGTAAGAATAAACACCTCTATCAGGGGTTTTCTCATCCAAGGACACGTCATTTGAAACCACTGAGTTGCACAAACGCTGTAATCTGAAGCAGAACAAGAGGGCATCTTAAAGAATATGAAGAGGCAGGGAACATAACTGCCAGCAGACGTTGTGCTTAAAAATACAGCCTGACCACAGGATGTCCTACAAAACACCTTTACTACAGTGGAAGATATGACGAGCTCATTTTATCTTTAAACTGCTTTTCCACATCAAACTGCTCTGGTTTGACTCACAGACACAACAAACTACACCACTAATCAGGCATTACATTATTTTAATTGGGCATATTTGTTTTGTACATAGTCTTTATCTGGAAGTACCAGCAGTTTACACTCAAGTGTGCGTGATGAGTCTTCACATTTATATGTGATCCATCTCGCCCAAAATCATCACCTCTCATCACAATGCTGCACCATCAGTTTCATTTGACAACCACACAGAGCAGCATTCAGGAGGTTGAGGAGGTTTATGCCACTCTTACTTCCATCTCCAACCAGTTAAACACTCGTATGACCAGAGGATTTATGGAGCCATGACGTGAGAGTCGCTGGAGCAAAAATAATAATCAGAATGAAAATCTAGTTGGAGCTGTGATGGAAGATCTGTGAAGAACATACGCAAACAGCATGAGTCCACCGTGGGAGCTGACGGTCAATACCACAGTGGACCTGGTGGCCTCCTCACATTATATGAGGTCTAACTGCCTTAACACTGTACATACTATTGATTCAATACCTCTGATACAGCATCAACATTGCGACATGATTGCTGTGGTTTTTACATTGCAATTTTATTGGATTTGATTGTGTGTTACATGCAGTGTTATTTTCCTGTAAAATACCAAATCATATGATTGATATGAAAAACCCCAAAATATACCCAAAAAGTATTGTGGTTCAATACCCTGCTCTAGACCAGTGGTTCCCACCCACTAGGGGTCGCTAGTTTGCCTATATGTCAGCATTTTGTTTGTTTCTGTGAAGACAACTAAATTTAGTTTTTTGGTTTTAGATATGTTAAAAAATACATAATACAGACAGAAAAGTGCATTTATATGGGTTCATTGTACAGTTTATCAGTTGTTCTCTACTGTTATTATTATACATTGAATATAATATTAAATATACATATAATATGTCACTTCAGGTCAGTTCAATGATACAGAAGAGCTCCCTTAAGCAAAAAGGTTGGAAACCACTTCACTGGACTGCTGTCAAACTATTTTAGTTTCAGTATGTACATTCAGTTGTAGTGTTTCAATAAAGAACTGTGTGCAGTGCCAATCCTCAGTAGGATGCATATGAAGGA